AAACTTCCCTTATTATTTCCCTTATTTTCAAATACTAAGTTGACAGGTATGATTCTTGTGTACAACAAAAGACGATAAGGAACTAACTCTAATCGTAAATGGACTGTACTTGTATAGTCCCTTCTTGTCTTCTGACCACTCAAGGGCTTGACACTACATCACATTCACACACCGATGGCACAGCCCCCCACAAAAAACTGTAATAATTAGCTGTGGGTTATGTAGAATCCACCGTGTCAGCTGGAATGATGCTTAATTTCCATCTCGGAGGGAGGAACATATTGAAGGGAGGACTTAATGAGGTGAACTAGGGACCCTGCTGATCCACTCTGTCCATCACCGCTGCCTGTAGAAGAATGTGGTTAAACTGGGGAACAACATTCACGCTCTGTGCCTGCCTACCTTAGTTGTTCGACAGATACCTGATCTCACCCAGGCATGACCTGACTTCCATCCACATGGAATTCCTATAGTAGAAACAGGGTTCTCCACACATCTTCAAACAAATGCAGCTGAATCAGGTGCTTCTCATTTTGAGGACAGAAAATTTCTAGAGGACAAAAGGGACTGGGGCTTGCAATTAATTGGCGGCTTCAATAGTGCAATAAGACGTTTCGACACTACTGTGTCTTATCAGAGTCAATTATGGACATGAGCAAGAAACTTTGTCACCGGATAATTGGTTGAACAGGGTTTTAAATCTGGAAATTAATCATAAGGTGTGAGTAGCCGTAGTAATAAGTTTATTTTCCATGTCAAGGTGCTGGACCCCTAACCACATGTCAGGAACAAACCAACAAAAGAGCACAGACCTCACTTATAGTTAAAAGGTCAAGACAGATTTGTGTCCATTTAGACTCTGATGAAGACACAGTAGTGTTGAAACGGTAATGTGTTTTAGGGCTTAACGATTAATCGTTTTCAAATCAAAATTGCGATAATCGAAATGTGATTAGCTAATTATGAAGACATCGATTAAAATGTAGGTTAATTAAACAGCGAATCAGATCTGTTTTAAACAGTCATTCAGTCACAGATTCATGCTGTTGTCATCTTTAGGTGACAGATTTGCTTTCCAATCACAAGCGCCATGCGCCTTCTGTTACAACAATCGAAACTGGAAAACGTGGGATAATGGCGGCAGCGTCTGATTTGCTGACTTGTTCAGATTTTGTTTATTTGTTATGTTGTCCTTGATTTTTGTGCTACTAGTTAAATTGTTTCTTTCTTTTGTCTGTTTAACTGTGATTATTGTTGATGTACGATCGGGTGTCTCCAAAGGGTGTTTTATTTTGAAAATCAACTGGATCCTCTATGCTGTTCTGTGTCTGACTTCCTGCCTGGTTCATCTGCTCTGTGCTGCTTAATGCGTCTTCCATCAAAATAGACTGGCAGTGTATATTAAACTTTAGCAAAACTTCAGTAAAAAAAAATTCAAATCGAATCGTAATCTCAATATCTGTCCAAAAAATTGCAAATACATTTTTTCCCCAAATACAGGTCCTGCCTTTGCCATTTCTTTGTATCTTTTGTTTGATAACTGGACAGAATGCATCCATCCATCCATCCATTGTCAACAGCTTATCCTGCGTACAGGGTCGCGGGGGGCTGGAGCCAATCCCAGCTGACAGTGGGCGAAAGGCGGGGTACACCTTGGACAGGTCGCCAGTCCATCGCAGGGCCCTGGACAGAATGCAAAGAGAGAAATCTTAGCTTTGCTGGTTGCAAACTACATGAGGATTTACAAGCATATATCAGCCTATCTGTAAACGTTTTCCCTTTCCACACTTAACACTGGAACCTTTGTATTTACTCAGGAGAACTTTTTGAAAAGCTCAAAAGATCAGTGGTTGAAAGCATTTGCTTCTGGGCAATCCATTCCACCAGTGTTTTTTGAAGTGTGTGTGATGTACATCACTCCTCAGGTTTCATCAGGTACACTAATTTGCAGCCACTTATATTAGTCTTTTTATTTTACTGCTGTGCACCTACAGAAGCATACTCTCCTATGTCCACCTTATGTTTAACACATGAACTATATCTACAATGATGGTTTTTCTCTATGAGCTTTCCAGTTTTACGATAGACTTGCAGAGCTGTGGTATGCGAGGAACATACTTTTTATGTTTTATGCTGAGGCTACAGTGACGTTGAAGCTACCACATTAAGACCGCAAGAAGTGTGATGGTCAGCCTAGTTTGCTCGTGTTTTCTCCTCTGCGTGTGCTGATGGAGACTGTTAGTGAAGACTATTGAAATCCAGTGCTAGCAGAACTACACATCAAACTTTCTAGAGGAGGAACTCGAGGAGTTGGCGTCTCATAGTGTGTGGATCATCTAGAGCAGGGGTCAGCAACCTTTTCTGTGATGAGTACCAATATACAAAGATAGACATCCAAGTGTGCCAGCAGCGTTTGTTAATGCACATGTCATTTATTTTTAATTTATGCACTTACAAGCATATGTCAGATTTTAATTGAAGTTTGACCTTGTTAATATAATAATAGACATATAGTAAATAGGCTGTCAAGCGATTAAAAAATGTATCTAATTAATTACAAGTTTTGAAACTTGTTTGTAGTTTTGTAATTAATTAACAGAATGAATTGAAATGAATCACATATATCGATATTTGCCGTGATAAGCATTTAAATATTCTAATTCAGTTGGATTTTAGTAGAGTGCATCAATGATATAAACAAACTTATTTAGCTCAACATCTTTATTCCCATGAATTCATAACCTTGTTCATATGCAATAACAATGCCACAACATTTTTTATTAAAACACTAGCGTTAAATAGCGTTTTTTTGGTATTGAAGACCTTCAGAAGCCCGATCGCGGATCATAAAGTACTACGATTAATCCTGCGTTGAAATATTAGGCGTTATTTTTTCTATATTTCTTTAATTTTCACAACCCTAATAATAATGTCAAAATTAATGGTTGGTTTTTAATGGTTGATCACTAACTTAATGTAATATTAACAACACAGCAGCATATGTCAATATTGTAGAATTGAGTTTGCTTTTTCACGTGCCCACGCTGGCACGTGTGCCAACGGGGACAGGAGCGCTTGGAGACACCAAGCTGCTGTAGACACAAAAAGTTGTGCAGCATTATCCCCATTTAAACAGTTGGTCATGTGAAGACTGCAAAGACACACAAAAAACACAGAATCTAATGTTGTGTTCACATACAACGCAATTTAATCCTCGCTTTTCTCGCGCGGGTTTCATTGCTGGATAACTGCTGAGTGTTCGCGCACAAAGCGAAAAGCGAATAAACACAACACGCAAATACTACAGCTGTATGAAGCCAAAGTAAACATGTTGCTATGATTTAATTGCAATAAACGGATCAAACTGATGCTGAAATAACGACAATATGATGCAGATTTGTTAAACAACAACCTTTTAAATGTTTGTTTTCTGAATGGACTTCGGATTGATCAGGGCTATGCTATGCTACTTGTTCACAGTAAAGTACAACGATAGCTGGAATAAAGTTACAGACACATTTTATGAACTCACCAGGTAGTTCAATTTCCTCGCTTTCTTTCTCCATGTAATGTCCAGTTTTGTCCGTTTTTTATATAAATGTGAAGTGGTGCTATCCGACGCTAACAACAACAGTGGAACCAGATGTTCACAGAATCTAGCTGCTGAGAAGCTCCAGTGAAGGTAAATCAACATTGTCATCCCAAAACTAAAGTAAAAAGCTAATTTAATAAAAACAGTTACTCCGAGCTCCTCCTGCAGGTAAACGGTGTAGTTGTCAGAGCAAAATCCAGACCGACTATGGGTGTTTATTGCTCCCCGTACACTTTCCTGTTCTTTAGCAGCTCTCCATCAGCTAGCGCCATTTCACTCCCCCACTCTCCCTGGTCCTCTCCTAACAATGCTTGAAGGCGTCAGTGACGTCGGGACAATCTCGCCACTGATAGGCTTTGCAACATAGCGTCAAGGGAATTTCTCACTGAAGTTTAAAAAATTGTAACTTGTACGAACCAGCGAATGTCGCAACAAACGCATCTTCCGCACCGCCCGCAGCGAATTTGCAGGAATTCACATTTTTGTATTGACTTTGTGTGTAATCAAGACGCCCAAAACTCTGGATTCGCTTTCAGTGCTGCTTGCAGCAGGATTTTTTAGCCTAGCTTTCAGTGTGTCCATTCAGAACAGGCTATGACTTTACATGTGATTGGACAACACGTTGTATGACCTGGTTTGTTTGAAGCTTACAGAGATCTTGATACACCCCGCCAGTGTCCAGCATTCTGTATAGACTCTGTTGGTGTTTTGTAACATTCAGGCAATTGATGTGTCATATCTCATGAGCCGGGTTTTTACAGGACTAGCCACTATGGTGTTGTAGAATTAGAAAAGGTATCAGCTCAGTGGGCAGTTAGTCACAATATAATTTTTTCATCATGGTGTGCCAGAGCCTTTTTTGCAAACACTAAATTCTAAAATGTCCTTAACTCAGTAAATCATTTGCTCGCTCGATGATATAGAATGAAGTTTTCCCGACAGAAAGTCACTGGCACTCCACAGATACAAACTGGTGAATCTTCCTAAAATGTCTTACTATTGGTGTCCCTCTCCTCTTTGCCTGCAGCTCCAGAAGACTCTGTCAGAGTTGGATGAAGATGATCCTTGCTACGAGTTTCGTCGAGAACGATTCACTGTCCATCGAACACACCTTTACTTCCTCCACTATGAGTATGAACCCAGCTCTGACAACACTGATGTTACTCTAGTCGCCCAGCTCTCTATGGACAGGTACTGTTCAACAGCCACAGTAACAAAGCTCAGATTGCTGAAAAAGTAGTTTGTTATTAAATATATTAACACTCTTCTGCATGTAATGGAGAACTTCCTGAACTTCCCTTGTTTTGCTGTTGTTACGCAGGTGTGCTTCGGGTGTTCTGCAGGTTCAGTAGAGTATTCTCTACATAGATAATAAGTGAAAGAAAATTAGAGCACCTCCAAGGCATAGATGAAGAAGCAACTCTCTTCAGTACAAAACTATTACATCTGGTTTTTGATAAAACACCAAAGGTGCAAGCATGTGTAGATAAAACTGAAGTAGAGAAGTCCCCTATGACTCTATGAACCTTTAAGAACATCCAGTCACAGAGCTTAAAATGATGATGTTTCTACTGCTAACAGTAAGCTGAAGAGAAAGATTATGCATGGTACAAACAAGGCCCGTTGTGTGTGAAGGAACTACAGTGAGGGATTTGGTCACAATAGTTCATGCATTTGCTCGTGGGAGGCTCATGGGTATTGTTGTACTTAAAGCCAGCCATCAAACCAAACAGAAAGAAACAACATGATTTCTCAGAAACAATGTTGATTTAATTGCAATTTATGATTTCCATAACATAAGCTTTTAATGTGATTAAATAATCCAGGGGACTCCCATGTTTGCATGTTGTGGAACACTGAGGATATCATTATATCATTACATATATATATATATATGGCAAGGGTTAAAGGATAAAACCTGTAAAACTTGTGCAATATTCATAAATGCTTTCTTAAAAAAGTTTCAAGAAGGAATTTAAAAGACACTAACGACATAGTCTGACATTAGTCCAGGTGGGGAAAAAATAAAAACATATGACTTCATGTAAATCAGCAGAAGAATGTCCTGATTTGGGAGATCTTCTTATGCTGAAAAAAGCCTGACAGGACAACATTCTTCCCTTGAACCACAAAACAGAGATGTGCTTAAAATATTACTGCAAGACATCCAGCAGCCTGTGTAATATTTTTTTTGTCAAGGAACCAACCTTACTGTGAAACAGGCTGGTAGAATTGGTTGGGCCAAAAACTGTAAGCCCAGATTTATCATTCAATTTAGTTTCATTCAGTTTTCATTCAATGACAGTTTTGGGACATCCGACATTTAATATCACTGAGGCAGGCAAAGAGATCATCTAGACTGCTGGAGTTACTGGATTGGAGAGGGACATGTAACAGTGATGGGAAAAACCATGGTTCTGAATTATCTGGCTGAGAGGAAGCGTGTACGGATATTGTAAACAAAAGACGGACCCTTGAGGAACACCACAATTAAAATGAACAACAGACGAACAGGTGAACAGAGAAGGTTCTATTGGAGAGCTTTGAACGCAGCACATGTAGAGCAGTGCCCTTAACACAAACCCAGGATTCCAGATGGTACAGGACAACTACAGGAGAACAGAGTGATCAGTTGTGTCGAAAAACAGTGCTCAAGTCTAACAGCACCGGGACTGAGCACTCACCTCTTATCAGCTGTTAAAAGTAGGTCATTGGAGACCTTCAAAAGGGCTGTGTCTGTGCTATGGAGAGCTGAGAAACCTGACTGAAAACTGTTAACAATGTTACTATTGTTCATAAGTAAGATTAAATGACTTGAAATGACTCTGTTTAGCCCCTTAGATAAAAATGTAATAGTAATAGTGGCTCCAGCTCAGGTTTTTTCAGTAACGGTTGAATAAATAGATGTTTGAAACAGAATTGTTAATATTCAATAGAATAAAATGGGTGTGGAAGTCCTCTTTTATAAATAATAATTCAATGATATAATTTGGTATAGTGTCTAAAACACAGGTAGAGGGTTACATTTGAGAAATTAATTGACCTAATGCTGAGATGTCCGTAGTTTGAAACTGGGTGAGGGTAACAAGATTACTGTTGAAGCTGGGTAGATTTCATGGATCGGGTGAAATTTCAAAGAAACTCGTGAATTTCTTTGTCGTATACCCGGTTCAAGATCTGTACGCATGGTCCACTGAGAACAGAGTTGATTACCTTAAATAAGATCATTGAATATTAAGTCTGCCAATCTTTTACTGCTTTCTGTTTGTTTGCCATATATTCTTTAAGACTACTGTGAATGAAAGCAGACTTGGTTAACTTCTGTTTGCGATCACATTTTCGGGGGTTGAGTGTGTGATCATTTAGCCAGGGGAGGGTGTTTGAGCTTAGCTTTCTGATTTTCACTGGAGCAAATGTGGTCAACCATGGAAAGACAGTGACTGCTGTTGAAGGGCAACATACATGGATATTAAACCCCCCAGATAAGTTCTCTGTCACACTTACATAAAACTTCTGATACCACTTGCCTCTCTGAATTTGCATCTCTATTCTGACATTCATGACACAAATACTTCACCACCTTTGAAGGTAACTGCTCAACCACTCACCATAAATAGCTTCACAGAGAAACGGTGCATGCCTTTATTCCCAATTATATCCCCAAAACTCACCACAACACACACATCCCCAGAGCTCATCAGATTGCTATTACTGGGCATCCTGGGGAGTGCAGAGAGGAAGAGGTGCAGTTCAATAGAAACTAATTTACTCTTCATGGTGCTGCTGTTACTAGCCATATTGAATGTTTTGGCTGCACCCGCTGATACGTTTCCTATTCTGTCCGTGTACGTGCACACATATGAAAGCCCTCTGAGAATCCTGTCGTAGAATGTAGCCTACGTGAGCAACTAATCACGTTTATGCTCCATGAGACATCGGGCATACCGACAGCTCTGCAGTATCTGATGAGCTGAACAACATTCAGCTTTTAGTGGCTTTGAAACAGCCCACTGTCAGATTTAATAAAGAGCATTATGTTATTTCTGGAGATACAAAGAAAATCCAGGGACTTTAGCATCAAACATCATCAATCTGCCATTTATATGGTAATGTTGGTATTTGTTTCGTCGTTTCAACAGTGAGCAGGGGGAGTATAAACAAACTTTTGCAATGAGTGTTTCATTTATGTGAACACCCAATTCCTCCTGAATTTGAAAGGTCCATATATTGAGTAGTTTTATGTATCTGCTACCTTTTCCTCTGTCTCTCTTCTCATAATGACATTGGGTCGTTTGAATTACTCAAGGTTATCCCTGCAGACATTTTATTTAGACTGAATAAATGTCTTGATTTAAGTCCTCCAATGTTCTCACTGCTTAGGACAAGTCCCAACGGAGGGCATTAAAACGTTATTTATCTTTGAAACTGCTTAGTTTATTTTTTTCATCACTACACTTTTGATTAATCAGATTTCTAGAGCTATAGTGCTCATTTACATCTGAAAATAGTACAGAAAAATGTATTTGCACGTCTTTGTGAAGCAAAAAGCTTGGTAATGTAGGGAATACTTGCACTCTGGTTTGCTAACCAGACTCTAAGAAAACACTGTTTGGTCCGGGAAGCATATCTGGACCAACGAGTGACTGTAAACTATACAGAACAGTTATATATAACTGGATGGTGACACACAGGGTGTGGTGGAAGAAGTACTGAGATCTCTCACTTGAAACTGAGACCATATAAGTCCACTGAGTCAAACTGAGACCATGTAAGTTTAAAGGAGAAATCTGTCTTTGGTGGAACTGCCAGACCTAACCAGACAGTGCAGGATGTTGGTGTCTACTTTACCTTCAGCACTGGAAAAGCTTGTGTTTTTTTTAATAATAAAATCTTACAACTGTGAAATACATTTAGCGGAGTAAAGAGAACAATATTCTCATCTGAAATGAATAAAAGTATAAAGTAGTATAGAATGGAATACTCAAGTCAAATACAGTAACCCAAAATTGTATGTAAGTACAATACTTTTGGGCCCTTAAATATCCACACTGTAGAGATGGTTTGCAGTTGGCCAAAGGTCACCAAAGTTGAATTTCTTGCAATCATCAGAGTGCAGCAATTCAGGGAATTGATTTTTGTCTGAAATTCTGGGGTTGGCGAGGCCCTTGTTGCTGTGGAACAGCTCCTTGGTAGTTATGCTTGTGGAATCAGTATACTTGTGAAGAAGTGTTTGTGAGATTGTCAGATTAACAAACCTCTCCCCACACCTTTCCAGCGTTGTAAGTGGGGGGCTGTGTTAAATGATTTTTCAGATTTTCAGTAGGAGGGGCTGGCCAGGATTCAAGCATGAATGTGACGGCTGACGTGTCAGCGTGAGTTCGTGTTTAGAATAAACAACTGACAGATGTGGTACGTTTTATTCAGTTAAATCTGAAACGTGGATGGAAATACTCTTACAGAAGGATAAGCAGGATAAACAGTTTGATCCATATGAAGGGGTTTATTTAAAACAGCTCAGCTGCTATTGACTCTGTTGACTGAAGAAAAAAAACATGGAGGCCTAGCTCATATCTGATTACAACTTACTTTGTGGTGTTCACAAGTTCAAATTATGCATGAGTACTTTCTGTGTACCTTTTATCTCCTTACCTCCACAGGTTGATAGGGGGTTAGTTGCCACTCTACGCACATAAGAGGACACCAAAGTTCATTTCAATAAAATATAAAACAATGTATTTAGAAGGTAAAGTCACCCAGCTGCATAAAAAGTTCTGCATAAATGCACCTGGGAATGTTCTAGGGCTGGGCGATTAATAACATTTTATTCTTAATTATGATTTAGGCTTGGATTGTGAGAACTAGACAATTGAGATAAAAACAATTATGTGCCATATTCCATTTTTACAATGATTCTCTTGTTTTGTCTTGTGTTAAAAATTCAGTGCAGCCCTTTCCTTTACAGCGGAGGCTCCGCCCCTCACTGAAAACCCAACCTCCCTCTCAGCAGTTGTGGCATATTTAGTTCAACTCAAGCCAACATGATGGGGGGGTTTAACTGCTATAACTTGCAAGTCACCATTATTAACTTAAACTTACCACATTTTACACTGCATAATTTAGCCTAGCAGCTAGTGGAGTTTTCCCTAGACATAGCTTACATATTATATATACCAGGGCTGGACTGGGACAAAAAATCGGCCCTGGCATTTTTGGCCGAGCCGGCCCCCAAAATCGATACCCCTCACCAATACACCATCGGGTCAGATTAGGGGTGTGATGACAAACTGAGACGTAACATTTGCACTAGATTGGTGTCCATGACTAAAAGACAAGAATATATTTTAATAGACCATTGATATTTATAGATAGGGTAAATATTTGATAGGGGGTCTGGGCGTCCACCCCCAGGAGATTTTTAGCATTAAACACTTAATTTCCTCCTATTCTGGAGATATTTTCTGCACCAATTTATTGTGGAAAAGTCTTCATTTTTATAAAGGGAAGCACAAAATTCAGGTGGCAGGTGACAATTCACAATATACAAATATAATAACATGCAGTAATCAGTAGCTTATTATTGTTTTTTGCTTAAGTTACTTTTTTTGGACAACGCAGAGGTTTCTTCTATATTTACATTGCATTGCAAGAAACAGAGAGCAGGGGGCGTGGGGGCCAGTAAGAGATGCGATTGGGCCAGCCCAATGTCAGTATAGAAAATTACCCAATGGGCCGCTGTCCATGCGTTATGGGCCGATTGTTGGCCCATTTTTTTTGGCCCACCGGTTTTGCCCGGTATGCCAGATTATCAGTCCAGCCCTGATTTATACTTATTTATATTTTTCTTACTCACCGTTGGTTTAAGTAACCGCATCTCCCATTGTTTCCTAAGCCAATGAGTAATCTTCTTAAATAATCATGATCTCAATATTCATGATTTGATTTTTGCCATAATGGAGTAGCCCTAGTAGTCTCACTGCTGGACACTGTATTTCTTTTTCTATATAGCCTATTTTTGTTGACTATTTAACGCATTTTGTCTGTGCCATTCAGTTGCTATGGCTAGTTGTGTTTAGCAGCTCTTCTAAACTTTTAGTCGAGTTGAAGGCACACAGTCACGTCAGGATTTTGAGGTAGAAGTTTATCCTTTACATTTACCATATTTTTCATACTTTAACCACAACAGAATAACTGTTAAAATCATTTTCACCAGAGATGATTTAAAAAGGTATTTTCTCCCTTTTCACTATGGCCAGCAGTTGGAAGTTGGAAGTAAAATGTGTGCTTGCGTTAATAAAAGATTTAGAAGAAGAAGATATGTTTTAGATGTCACTGATTCTGCAGCCTCAGATCTTCAGACAGGGAGTTCCAAAGCTGAGACTGCAAAAGCCCAGTCTCCAGCCCGCCTGTCTGAGGATCTGAGGTTGCACTCTAGCTCACAGCTGAGCTGCTAATCATTAGTGTAACTGGGAGATGAAACATGAAGTGCTTCGAATGTGATCAGTAAAATCAGTTCTCAAACTAACTGGTAACCAGTGAAGAGAGGCTTAAACAGGAGGGTTATAATCTCTTCTTCTCCTATTTTTTGAAAGCTTTCTAGCAGCTGAAGGGGTGATTTTTGGCTTAACCCTGAATACAGTGAACTGCAATAATAACTGAAACTGACTAGTGAGGGACATGTTCCTTTGAGGATGATTGCTTTTCATTATAGATATCCAATGTACTGTATCATCATCTAAAACATTGACATGGGATTTGCAGAGCAGATTGATGCTGCCAGGGGAATCCACCTTTTGATTTAAATGACCCCATGGTAGGTTAAGTCAATACTGTCAGTATGTTGCATCTTCTGCTCAATAAACATAGATGCCTCTAGGGGCTGCTAGCTGACTTTAGACTTTGTCTTGTTTTAATGAGCCCATGGTGGCTCTGTGGAGGGAAATTAATCCAAAACAGTGTCAGACGCAAATAACACGACCTCACCTTCAGATAGAATACAAATGAACTGTAGAGGTACTGTAGTGGGAAGCATGCAGATGAACTGAAAGGGGGAGAAGGAAAGAAGATTGTCAAAATTTGGACAATGACATTCATGCATTCACTTCCCCTCTCCAGCATCACCACTTTACAGCAGATCCACTGCATATTCAAAGTGAGTGACGCTGAGCAGGCCAGCCTGACCGAAAATGTTTCTGAAGCTCGACTCTTCAAAGCAAAGCCGAGTCTCCTGCTAAGGCAGGCTCTTTTCATTTATGTAACAAATATAAAACAAATATCAGTACCTCATTAGCATATCAAGTCCAAGGTTCAGTATCTCATTATTCCGTACCTTAACCCTAACCCAAAATGCATATAAAGCTGTGGGCAACAACGGCCAAGTGTAATAGTTGTGTTGTGTCACATGCCTCACGTTTTGCAACAAACCCAAACAGAAACAGCTGCAGGGCTAAAAACTTTGTTAATAGCAGCCACCAGAACGCAATCATCACATCTTAGGAAAAGGACACTATTCCATTTTGTGTTGCCATTTTTGTTGTTAATGAGTTGTTTCATGTGGTGTGGCGTTGGAGCTTATTTGATATTGGAATGTTTAGGAACAGCTATTGGTTAGGGCTTGGTATTTAACCTCAATACCTTTTTACATTTACATTTTTATTAATTTAGCTTTAATCCAAAGTGACTTACAATTGCTAAGTATGTCCGACGTCACATGCCTCTGGAGCAAGTACCCGGGTCTCTCACACCAAAGCCATGTGTCCACTGTCACATCACCACCCCCAATGCCAATGACCAAAATGTGTTCGTAACATAGTGTATCTAAAATTCTCAGGTAACCTAAGCTGACATACACCAAAAAAAAGTCATTTTCATGACTTGTCCCTGTGCCCCGCCCTTTGCAGGCTTCAGATGTTGGAGGCCATCTGTAAGCACTGGGAAGGCCCCATCAGCCTGGCCCTGTACCTGTCCGACGCTGAGGCCCAGCAGTTCCTGCGCTACGCTCAGGGCTCAGAGGTGCTGATGAGCCGCGGGAACGTCGGTTACCACATTGTCTACAAAGAGGGACAGTTCTACCCAGTCAACCTGCTTCGAAATGTGGCCATGCGGCAGGTCAACACACCCTACATGTTCCTATCAGACATCGACTTCTTGCCCATGTATGGCCTCTATGAGTATCTCAGGTAAGAGGAGAAAGGAAATTAGATTGGAGCCAGCTAAGTGGGCAGTGACACCTTTTAATATCCTTATATTTTAGAGAGACAATTATAATTTTGTAGGAGCTTTTGTACATGGACTGTAGTACTATACAGTATGGAATCTTCTCTTATGTGTGTGTCTGCAGGAAGTCAGTGGTGCAGCTGGACATGGCCAACACCAAGAAAGCTCTGGTGGTTCCAGCCTTTGAGACGCTGCGATATCGTCTGTCTTACCCAAAGTCCAAGGCTGAGCTGCTGTCTCAGCTGGACATGGGCACGCTATTCACCTTCAGGTGAACAACTTCTCTGTTTCTGTAGCTAGCAATGTTCAAGAATCTTCAGGTTTTCATTTAACGAAACACTACAGGAGCTCTTTTCATTTCCCTGTCCGTGTTAAAAGTTGTGTAGATCAGTAATATTGATTCATATATTTTACCATTCATTAATTCAGATCTCTTCTCAATCCTCAGGGGCTCACTGGTAGAGACACACTTGCACTTGTGCTGAGCAGACCACAAAAATCTAATAAAATTGAGAAAAGATAATAAACCATTAAAATGACATGACACTGGGATGTACAGTTAAATTGTTGGAATGTTACTATAAACTTTATCATGAAAAATTAGCAAACACAAACAGATTTCATATCATTGGAGAATACACTACTGGAGTGACATTGATGTTCAGTATTCCCTGAGACACAAATCATCTTCTCAACAATTTCTGGCAAACACCAAGTAGCCACAGCTCAGTAAAAGTCTCACAGAAATAAAATGTACAGTACACAAATAACAGTGAAAAAACATCTCTCCAACAATAGTTTTCTTTTCTCTCCTTTCAGGTACCATGTGTGGACTAAAGGCCACGCACCAACTAACTTTGCCAAATGGCGGACGGCCACCACCCCCTACAGGGTGCAGTGGGAAGCCGATTTTGAGCCCTACGTCATGGTGAGGAGGGACAGTCCTGAGTACGATCGCCGCTTTGTGGGCTTCGGCTGGAACAAGGTGGCTCACATCATGGAGCTGGATGCACAGGTAACTTACTCAACTATTACTGTCTATTTACCTGTCTAAACTGTCTGCTTAATGTCTCAGAATACATCTTCTCAACACGTTATGGTGTCTGCAGTTCATGAAAGGTAGAGGAAATCAGAAGTTCTGTGATTCACACATTTATTGCTGTTGCACAGCTCCACAGCTAATGCCCCTGCAGAAAAGTCACCAGGCATCTAATTATGATTAGGCTGTATTATTAAAGCCTTATTGAGCTGTCTTATAGTCTTATGTCTAGGTATGGATGACCTACTCAATATCTGTCTTTGAAATTACATATTTAATGAAATGCCAAGTTATAATGAGACAGCCCTTTATATAGACAGCCTCACTAATCTTCTCAAAAAGTGTGATTGCTAAATGTTTTGGTTCCTAATTTCTGCTGGTTCTGCAGTAAATGTAACTGATGGAAAAATTTGATCACTAAAACAGCACCATATAACATTTTATTATATTAACAAAGGATCCTATTTCTATAAGTAATGTAAGATGATCACGAACTTTGCAATTCCCCTCAGCTCTACAAAGCATTTTAGCATTTTCCAGCTGATTGTTTTGGTTTTTCCGTCCACAAACTCTGCTGTCATTATTTCCAGCAGAAGCAGGCAGCTGTTTTCAGTGATAAAGCTCTGATAAACCCACTGTGCACTACCTGCCCATCACCAAACAGCAGCTCAGCTTACCTTAATTTACCAGCTTAATTTTATGTGTCTTAGTCCCAAAACTAAGTCTTAACAAAAGTCAGAGGATCCCAAATAATTCAAGTTAATCAGATACATCATCTGGGAACCATGAATATCTGTACAAAGTCTGTCAGTATATGCTGAGATTTTTCACCTGCTGGTAATCTCATATGTCCCCTGACATCACCAAATTTCATGGAAAACCATCAAATGTTTTTGAGATTTCAGTAAAAAAACAGCCTCATGGTTTTGCTAGTGGTTTAGTCTGGGAATCACCAAAGTCAGTAGGACCATAAACTACTGTACAAAATATGACGGCTATGCATTGAACAGGTGTTATTTTTTTATTTAAACAGCTTGCACGATACAAACTATTATATCATTTATTATGGTACCTACAGTCAGTTGTGTGTTGAATAGTTTATATCTATGAAGATTCTCAGTCATCCAGGTCATAGTTATCCAACGAAGGTTGAGTCAAGGGCAACTGGACTTGGTTGAAGATACTGGATACTGGCTAAGAGTTTATTAAAATATATTTACTTATATTTTACTTATATAGGCAAATTTTTTATGAGTGTAGTTTTATTTTGGCATTGTAAAGCAATGTTGTCCATTTGGACGGGAGACATGCAGCAGCAATAAATAAATTAATTAAACTGGACTTGGTTGAAGATACTAGAAGATGTTTCGTCCCTCATCCAAGAGACTTCTTCAGTTCTGACTGACTGGTAGGGAAACTCAGCTATTGAACCTCTCTGGGATCATTAGCTAGGATCGATGATACCACGGGTTCGTTAGTGCTCCTGGCTGTGGTAACGACAGTCGTCATGGTCGTTAGAGCCACCGGTGGCCAAGTATGAACGACCATCGTTGGTATCTTCACCTGGGGCCAATAGGTTACGTTTGTTGAGTTTCCTGGGAAGTGATGAAAGGACAGCATTGTAAGTGGGGGATAAGTGGTGGCGTAGACCCCCTCCCCTGTTGAATGACGGCTTCTCAACCCTGGTGTAGATGGCTTCCTTGACACCTCTTTCAAACCATCCATCCTCTCTGTCTGAAATGTGCACCTGGTGGTCCTCAAACGAGTGTCCTTCAGATGTAAGTAGACTGCAGAGTCTTGACCTGAGGAGTTGGCCCTTCTGTGTTGAGCCATGCGTTTGTGTAGTGGTTGTTTAGTCTCCCCAATATACAGGTCTGTGCATTCCTCACTGCATTGGACCGCATACACTAGATTGCTTTTCTTGTGTTTGGGTGTGCGGTCTTTGGGGTGGACCAGCATCTGTCTTAGTGTGTTCTTGGGTTTAAAAAAACAGGGATGTTGTGTTTGTTGAAAATCCTCCTGAGTTTCTCTGATACTCCAGACACGTATGGAATCACGTTTGACCTTCTTCTCCTCTTCTTCCTGGATCTTGTGGCTGTTTTCACAAAGGTCCATTAAGGGTATCCACAGGCTGTAAGTGCCCCCTTCAGGTGGTTCTAACTGTTGTTGTGGACATCTTCTCGCATGAACTTGATGTCCACAGAGTTGATGTGTTCTGTGAAGTGTCATCCAGTATCTGTACCAGTGGCTCGGTGCTGTTCCTCTGAAAGAGTTGAGGGCTTTTCCCTCCACTTCTTCCATGTAGATGTTTGCCACAATAGGTGACACTGGTGAGCCCATGGCACAGCCATGCTTTTGTCTGTAGAAACCTCCGTTGTACTGGAAATAGGTGGTGTTTAGACAGAGGTGGAGTAATTTACAGATCTGGTCAGGGCTGAGGCTGGTTCTGTTGTCCAGGGTGTAGTCGTGTAGTAGCCATTTCCTTATGGATTCTATTGGTGGGGATGCAGGTGAACAAAGAGGTCACATCATAGGACACCATAGTTTCATCTGGGGCAGTTTCAGTTTCTTTGTTTACAAAGTCAATGGAGTTTTGGATGTGGTGGGGCAAGTTACCAACCAAAGGGGCTAAGATGGTGGATATGTAAAGTCTCTTGGATGAGGGACGAAACGTCTTCTTCAACCAAGTCCAGTTGCCCTTGATCTCAACCTTCGTTGGATGAATAGTTTATAGTTTTTCCATTATTTGCAATCAGCATGACGCCTAAAGTCCACTGACCCCTAATGGCCGCGAATCGTGGCCATTATAGTCAATACTCGTAAGTCCACCAGACGCAGCCCAGAAGCATCTCTCCGCTTCGCGGAGAATAGGTAGCCAGCCTATTTTTGACGCAGGCTGCATTAAGCAGCACAGAGCTGATTGAACCATTTAACTACGTAGCCTACTTAATCATAGTGGAAGCACAAAATGCAAACACTGATTACCAGATCAACAAAATCTAAACATGTCAGCAAAATCGGCGCAGCCGTAACATGCCTTATCCAGACACAGTGGACTTGAGAGTGATGAATGCTACGTTCAGTTGAGAATTGTCCCCTTTTGGTTGCTTGTAACAGAAGCTCGTAACTCTTGACATTGGCAAACTCTTTTACATGGACGTAATTTGTGCCGCCTTTACTTCCTCAACAGTAAAATAAACAACAAAAAACAGTAATACCACTGAAGAAATTGTTGATATGATTGTTTTTCAATTTTAATTAACAAGGTGATGTTAATCAGGGTTACCTTACTGAAGAACTTACAATGTAGCAGTACAGTCAGACTTCCAATCACACTTCACATAAAACATTCAGCTGGTGCAACATGCCGAAATATTATCAAGATCAAGAGTTGATAGAGTTATAATTGGACTTACATCTATCAGGCAGATATAATAATGTCTCCAGATTAATGCTAATGTTACGATGTGTCTGCTGGATGGTTGAATAATAGGTCAGATGCTGTGTTTACAGGTTGTTCAGCTGCCCCTTTGTGGCCCATAACACAACCAGTGCAACTTTATATTAGGTGTTGTAATAAAGAAGCCCGGTGGTTGTAGTAGTCAGCCGTCCTGAAAGTTCTTCCTGTCCTCTTCTCTCCACAGGAGTACGAGTTTGTGGTTCTGCCCAATGCCTACATGATCCACATGCCTCATGCGCCCAGCTTCGACATCACCAAGTTCCGCTCCAACAAGCAGTACCGGGTCTGCCTCAAGACCCTGAAGGAGGAGTTCCAGCAGAACATGTCGCGACGCTATGGCTTCGCCGCCCTAAAATACATGACAGCTGAGAACAACAGCTAGCCACCACTGCAGACCCTCACACCCCCAGCCTTGAACAAATGACACACTCCAGGACAGGACAACAGGAAACGGATACTTTTAGTCCCTCAGAATTTGTTAGAACGTTTGACCGTCAGTGTGGAACTGCAAGGGTCTTTATGTCCATTCTTTGTCCTCTGCTGTGGATGGAAGAGATAATCCAGGAGGAGATCCCTTCTTCCAGGATGTTTAAGCTGTGATCATACAAGTGACTGCTAGGTCCAGGCCACTGTTGTGTGGGCCCCGAGCTCTTGGCCCTGAAATTTGACAGACGGCAGGCAATCAATGCATTGCCATATTTGTAAGAGCAGTGACAGAATCGTGGACTGCGTGTGTAACTATATGTATGTATGCGTGTTCGTGTGTGTACATGCAGGTAGATGAAAAGTGTGACTGTGTATGTGTCCCTCCAGGACAGCACTTAGCTAAAAGCCTGAGGAGAGCTGAAAATATTGTGGGCCTGCATTCTGTTTGCACGCCAACAAAGTGCCAACAAAAAGCAGCGGCAGTTTGACTGACAGCACACCCCACATTAAACGCACATTGTCATCGGGTGGCATGATAAGCCAAAGCAGCAGCGTCCACACAGATTTTCACATTGTGATGAGCGACACACACTCAGATATTGAGGTGATCAGCCGACCAGCCGACCAGCTGCTGCTGCTTAATTTGTTTGACAGTTGATACAGATCAGAATAAATCCTCCCCTTCGTATATTAAGGGAAGTTAAGTGCAGGGACGGCGGGAGGTCGTCCATGCGCTTGATATTCAGGGTCTTCACATCAGCCCGAGCGTGCTGAGATTGTTTCCAGAGTTTTGTTACTGCTAAAGAATCTGACAGCAGCTGGTGCAGTGTGCTTTTTTTGTGTGTTTTAAATTGATGCCAGTGTGCTCTGCACAAACACCTGCTGGAAGTCGGTTTGTGAAGCTGCCACCCCACCACATGAGGCGAAGCACCAATCAGTGAGCTCTCTGTTTACGTTTTTCTTTTCCAACAATCAGTATTATTTATCAGTGTGTTTACAGGCCTGATGAGTGTCTCCTCCGCACATCATCAGGAGCATCTGAGGAGGAGAGTGGTGAAAATCAACCACTTGCAGTCAGGAGAAAGTCACAGACACTTTTTTTTTTCTCTCCCGCTTTCTTTCTTTCTCACTCTGGCCTCTAGTTTGACGACATTATAGTGGAGTCCAAAAACGCTTGTGGTGTGTGTTCTCCCATTTGTGTTGCTACACATGGTCACGCTGGATGTGGACATTGGGTGTGATATGAATATTTTGCCTGCGCCGTTCAGCTCTTACTACTGCTGTGACAGACACCTGACAGACACAACTCTGCCCAGTTATCTAGACTCTTAAGAGGACACAAAGACTGACAGTCACTATAATATTACACTGTTACCATATGACAAAAATATCATAAAAGCACTGTTTTGTATCTACATCATAATGTATGTTACGATATGATGAGATAAAAACTAAAGTTAGTTGAGGTGAATGGAATACAGATAACGTATATAAAATAAATAAAGTAAATAATAAGTAAAATAATAAAGTATGTTTATCTTACTGCGAGTCCTGACAGAGATATCATAGAAAGGTTTGAAATGATGAACCAAAAATCCAGATACAAACAGAAGAAGAACTTCTGCACTTTGGCAGTTTATTTACAACAGTAACATTTAGTTAGCTAACAACATCATTAAACTCATACAAAGTCATTGATGAATTGCAGTTGTGGACTATGAGCAAGACAACATTTATCATATATATGGCTGATTTTTTTGATGCATGTGGAAATAGAATTAGTAATTAAATACACCACTTCAGAATGAACACAACAATTTGAAAGTGTAGGAAATTTCCAAAATTTTAAGATGTTGTAACAAGTGTTTCCCTTCAGATTTCTGATGAGTACATCAGATAAAGTAGTGTGTGGAGGCTGATCATCTCTGTAAAAGGACATCTCGGTTAAAATAACATTATGTTGTAGTTTTAACTTAAAATAACAGCTTCAAAATTGTTTTCATATTTCACTGACTTGTTAAAGGGTGAATGCCTTCTCTTTTAGTACCACACTTGGTCTTGCAATGCCAGCTACCGCACTATGTCACATTGGAATCCTGGGCAGGTTGGCGTGAGATAAAAGCGGTGAAGGGGATGCGAGACAGATTCCGAGCTGGCCTTCTAGCTGTTGGACTGAGTTGGATGTAGCTGCAGTACCGGAGGCTGCAGTTTCAAGACCACAATCCTAGGACCGGAACTGCATTTGTAGGACCCTTGTTTACTTTGATACTGCCAGCTAACTGGCTAGCTAACTAGCTAGCTAGCTATATTACTCTTGACAGCCCCCCGAAGCCAATTACCCATACCCTAACTTTCACAGTGTTTGTCTAAACCTAAGTTATTGATTATATGCATGTTGACCAGTTAACCCAACAGCTGTGCACTTCAGCCTCAAGGCCGACGTGCTAGCAGACAGGGCTAATCTCTTTAGTGTTGCTGTCGAAAAGAAGAACTACGGTCCTAGAACTGTGGTCCCAGGATTGTGGGGGTCCTGAAACTGAAGCCTCCAGTACAGCAGTTAGATAATATTGGTTGGACAAGTGAGTAATAACTTATTAGCTGGCTAGCTATGTTTGTGTTGTCGCGTTGTTTATGTTTAGCCTACCTGTGTTAGCAAAGTTGTCAACTCGAGCGAAATCAGCCGGAGGTTTCACTGAAAGAGGTTTAGCTGCTAGCTATAGATCTCGAGTTGAAACTTACTAGAAAACGCACTCGGACATCTGTAAGAGCTCTTGCATCGTTTGGTGTCTAGCTGTGTTGGCTAGCTTGCCACACAGCCTCTTGCTCGGTCAATCTCTCTTTTTCTCTTGTGAGCTTCTACCGTCAACGTATTCTTTCATCTCTTCGCCTCTTCCATTAGCTAACGTTATGTCTATAGAGGTTGCTGAGCCCAGTTATGTTGCTTTAACTGTGATGGCATTCATGATATCAGTAACGTTAGCTGACATTTCAGATTGTTACCACTGGCTTTGCACATACCACCGCTGGTCTACTGGCCAATACATATCTTTGTGAAACTAGAGGTCTCACACACACACACACACACACATTCTCTGATACACACTGTCTCTCTCTTTCTCTCTCTCTCTCAGTCACTACAGCATTCTTAATCTGTACAGGAAAGCAGCAGAAGGGCTCTGTGCAGTCTTGCAGGTGTGTGTGAATACACTGTGTGTCTGTGTGTACGTGTAGGTTCAGTAAGCAGGCGTGTGTGCTCGTGTGTGTGTGAGAAGTTTGACTCGGTTCTGAATGTGTGTGTGGCTTTGCAGGGCTGGGAGGAGCTGCAGTGTGTAAGTAGGACAGTGCTGACTGATGCTGCTACCTGAATAAAAGCAAAGAGTCAAACACTGTTCTGTTACTTTGTGTCATCATTTCTAACTTCATGAATATCAATTTAGCCTTGTGAACCCAAAGTAAGAGGGATTCATATGAGCACTCACTGTACTCTTGTACTCTGTACATACACAGTTGCATAGTATACCTGTGTGTATTTATAGAGTAAGTAAGAGTTTATCACCTTTCTGAGTTAAAGGGACTTTGTTACATGTCAAAGTCAGTTTACTCATTAAAGATTGTACTACCACTAAATGTTCCACACCTGCCTCAAACTTGCACAATTCTGTATATACAGTATACACATTTACTGTGCAAAGAGTTTTAGGCAGGGGTGGACAATTTGCTGTAAAGTAAGAATGCTTTCAAAATAGATATTAATATTTATTACTATATTAAATATATATTTATTTATTTTAAAAATGTAATTATGTATGTATGCAAAGTAAGTTAACAGAAGAATAAATAGGATCAACCTTTTGCCTTCAAAACAGCCTCAATTATTCTAGGTACACAAAGTCAGGGATTTTGTAGGCATATTGTCAGTAGTATTATTAAACATTTATATCAATCAGATGGTAATGATCACCGATTGATATGTAGGTTGAAACACAATCATGAAGTGAAACAGAAACAGCTGGGTAGGAGGAATACAACTGGGTGAGAAACAGCCAAACTCAGCTAACAAGGTGAGACAGAAACACAGTTTACTGTCAAAGGTCATACAAGATGTCAAGACTGAGCCCATCAACATCCAGATGTGCTGTCCAAGCTCTTTTGAAGAAGCTCAAAGAAACGGGGAACGTTGAGGACAGTAGATGCAGTGGTCGGCCAAAGAAACTTACTGCAGCAGAGGAAATTAATGTCTCCTCAATGCTGAGAAGTAGGTAGATGATATCAGAATCAGAATCAGCTTTATTTGCCAGGTATATGTACACATATGAGGAATTTGACTCTGGATTGTACAATGCTCACAATGTGCTTACTTACACAATAATACAATAATAAAATCAAACACAGGCTACAGTATAGAGAACACATATATACACACTATAAACAAAAACAATATAGACAGATTGAGATAATAGTGCAATGAGCAGAGCGCAAAGGGTGCAGGAGTGAATTATTATTACCAGTATTATTATTATTATTATTATAATGTACATGTCGGAGGTGGATGTGATATACAGGTACACATAAATAAGTATTATGTGCAGGGATTATTCACTTGAGGTAGGTGGATTTGGTATTCAGAATATGACATGTAGAACAGTATGAACAGCTCTGAAATAGAGAATGATGAATAAATAAGTGGTAACCAGTAAATAGGTGGCAGAGTTACTGGGTTATTGGACAGGAATTGTTCCTGACACTGTGAGTCAGAGTCAGCTGTTCATCAGAGTGATGGCTTGTGGGAAGAAACTGTTCCTGAGTCTGTTGGTTTTGGTGTACAGTGCTCTGTAGCGCCTACCAGAGGGGATTCAATTCAATTTTCAATTTTATTTATATAGCGCCAAATCACAACAACAGTTATCTCACAGCGCTTTTCATAAAAGAGCAGGTCTAGACCGTACTCTGTGATGTTATTTACAGAAGCCCAACAGTTCCCACCAAGAGCAAGCACTAGGCGACAGAGGCAAGGAAAAACTTCCTTTTAAGAGGCAGAAACCTCGAGCAGAACCATGGCTCAGGGTGGGCGGCCATCTGCCTCGACCGGTTGGGGTGAGAGAGAGAGAGAGAGAGAGAGAGAGAGAGATGTAAGGAGAGAGAGATGTAAGGAGAGAGAGAGGGGAGGGAGGCAGCCTACACAATATACACACAGAGGTACACACAGTGAAGGTAATGTTGCTATAGACTAAATGAAAAATGGTACAGATATTTATAATAGTGTTAATGGTAACCATCATAATATTAATGATTATAATAACAATAATAACAATAAGACTAGCAAAATAGTCGTAGCAGCAGAGGGTGTCGAGCAGGAACACGGGGGCAGCAAGTGACCCGCAGCCACAGCTCCAGACTCCACAGCTCCAGAGCCAGAAAACCTGCAGGAAGTGATAGGAGAGAGGAGAGAGACGAGAAAGCACAAGACTACCAGAAAGGGGAGAAGTTGTGTTAGTAACATGCAATAATGGGATAAGGTTGCATACAGAGGGAGAGAAAGTAGAGGAGAGAGGAGCTCAGTGCATCATGGGAAATCCCCCGGCAGTCTAGGCCTATAGCAGCATAACTAAGGGATGGTTCAGGACTACCTGAGCCAGCCCTAACTATAAGCTTTATCAAAGAGGAAAGTCTTAAGCCTACTCTTAAATGTGGAGATGGTGTCTGCCTCCTGAACCCAAACTGGAACCTGGTTCCACAGGAGAGGAGCTTGATAGCTGACGCTCTGGCTCCTAGTCTACTTTTGGAGACTCTAGGAACCACAAGTAACCCTGCATTCTGGGAGCGCAGTGCTCTGGTGGGGTAGTAAGGTACTATGAGCTCTTTAAGATAAGATGGTGCCTGACCATTAAGAGCTTTGTAGGTAAGAAGAATGATTTTAAATTCTATTCTGGATTTTACTGGAAGCCAATGCAGAGAAGCTAAAACAGGAGAAATGTGATCTCTTTTCCTGGTTCCTGTCAGAACACGTGCTGCAGCATTCTGGATCAGCTGAAGAGTCTTAATGGACTTTTTCGAGCAGCCTGATAATAAGGAATTGCAGTAATCCAGCCTAGAAGTAACAAATGCATGGACTAGTTTTTCTGCATCATTTTTAGACAGGATGTTCCTGATTTTCGCAATATTACGTAGGTGAAAAAAGGCGGTCCTTGAAATTTGCTTAATGTGAGACTTAAACGACATGTCCTGATCAAAGATAACTCCAAGATTCCTCACAGTGGTGCTGGAGGCCAAGGCGATGCCATCCAGGGAAACTATATCTTTAGATAATGCGTCACGGAGGTGCTTAGGCCCCAGAGTAATAACTTCAGTTTTATCTGAGTTTAACATGAGAAAATTACAGGTCATCCAGGTTTTAACATCCTGAAGGCACATTTGAAGTTTAGCTAACTGATGAGTTTCATCTGGCTTGATCGATAGATATAACTGAGTATCATCTGCATAACAATGAAAGCTTATGGAATGTTTCCTGATAATATTGCCTAAAGGAAGCATATATAAAGTGAAGAGGATTGGTCCAAGGACAGATCCTTGAGGAACTCCATGAGTAACTTTGGCGTGCATGGAGGACTCATCGTTAACATGTACAAACTGAAATCGATCTGATAAATAGGACTTAAACCAGCTTAGAGCGGTTCCTTTAATGCCAATGAAATATTCCAGTCTCTGCAATAGGATCTGATGGTCAATGGTATCAAATGCAGCACTAAGATCTAATAAAACCAGTACAGAGACAAGTCCTTTGTCTGATGCAATAAGGAGGTCATTAGTAATTTTCACCAGTGCTGTCTCTGTGCTATGATGAGCTCTAAATCCTGACTGAAAATCCTCAAATAAACTATTGCTCTGTAGAAAGTCACACAGCTGTTTAGCAACTGCTTTCTCCAGAACCTTAGAGAGAAATGGAAGGTTAGATATAGGTCTATAGTTGGCTAAAACATCCGGATCAAGTTTGGGCTTTTTCAGAAGAGGTTTAATTACAAGTACTGTGGTACATAGCCTGTTGATAAAGATAGATTGATCATATCTAGTATAGAGGTGCTGACTAAGGGTAGAACATCTTTAAGCAGCCTAGTCGGGATGGGGTCTAAGAGGCAGGTTGATGGTTTAGATGAAGAAATTATTGAAGTTAGTTGGTAAAGATTGAGGGAAGCAAAACAGTCTAAACATGTATCTGGTTCTACAGCTGTTTCTAAGGTTCCTGAGTTAAGAGATAAGTCGGTGCCAATTGAGGGCAGGTCTTGGTGAATTTTGTCTCTAATAGCTAGAATTTTATCATTAAAGAAGCTCATGAAATCGTAACTACTGAGAGCTATGGGAATACTTGGCTCAATAGAGCTGTGACTCTCTGTCAGCCTGGCTACAGTGCTGAAAAGAAACCTGGGCTTGTTCCTATTTTCCTCTATTAATGACGAGTAGTAGGCTGCTCTGGCATTACGGAGGGCCTTCCTATAAGTTTTAAGACTATCTTGCCAAATTAAACGAGAATTTTCCACTTTGGTAGAACGCCAATTCCTCTCAAGTTTCTGTGATATTTGCTTTAATTTGCGAGTTTCAGTATTATACCATGGAGCTAACCGTCTTTGTTTTAGTATTTTCTTTTTTAGAGGGGCTACAGAGTCGAGTGTCATTCGCAGCGAGCCTGCAGCACTATCAACAAGATGATCGATTTGGGAGGGACTGAAATTAGCATAGGAGTCCTCCGTTACTTTGTGACTAGATAATGTATTTAGAGCTGATGGAATCGCATCCTTAAATTTAGCTATGGCACTATCAGACAGACATCTTGTATAGAAATTTTTGCCCAGTGGCGAGTAGTTCAGCAATACAAACTCAAAAGTTATCAAACAGTGGTCGGATAAAGAGGGATTCTGTGGGAACACCACTAAATGTTCAATTTCAATACCATACACCAAAACAAGGTCGAGGGTGTGGTTAAAACAGTGAGTCGGTTCATGAACACTCTGAGAGAAGCCGATGGAATCTAACAGAGAGATAAACGCAGTACTAAAGCTGTCATTCTCAACATCCACATGAATATTAAAATCTCCTACAATAATAACTTTGTCCGTTTTAAGGACTAAAGTTGACAAAAACTCTGCAAATTCAGATAAGAATTCAGAGTACGGGCCAGGTGCTCGGTACACTATAACAAAAAGAATTGGTTGCAGTGATTTCCAACTTGGGTGCGAAAGACTAAGAACAAGACTTTCAAATGAGTTATAGTTTGGTTTAGGTTTAGTGCTGATTAGTAGGCTAGAGTCGAAGATAGCTGCAACTCCACCTCCTCGGCCTGTGCCTCGAGGAATGTGAGTATTAATATGACTGGGAGGGGTGGATTCATTTAGGCTAG